CAGCCTTAACTTAACAAAAGGAATTTTCATCTCATAAACTCAGCCCAGTGTAAGTGTTCTAGAACTAACAGAGGCAAAGGAGATAATGGAGACAAATATCAGCAAACCCCTCAGAGTTAAGATACTGCTTAGACATTTCACATTGGTTTACTGTATAGATCCAAGCTTAAAACACTCTCCATTCACTCAACTCAACTTGTTGGGGGTTCCAGACCTATGGAGGTACTGAACTAAAACTGGTTTCAACTGGAGAGCCGATGGCCCAGGCAAAAATGAAAGGCCTTCATCACAATGCAGGGAGATGGCCGAGCAGTGACAGTCCCTGCATTAAGTGGCGTCTCCAGCTCCCATAGGACCTGCCCTCAATTGCTCAAAGAGCCTGACCTCTGACAAAGACCAATGATTTCAGCAGTAATTAATGGAACTGTCAAATTAATTAACCCAAGTCTTTGTTCACAGGGAAAAACCCCTCTAGTATCAATACTGTTGTTCACCAGTCCTTGACCAAGCCTATAGACCCAAACCTTCTCAACTGGGACACAGGGACACAGGGACACCACTAACTGATGGCCCTAATAAGCCCCTACCTAGTAATCTGCTGACATTTGTTAAACCTTCTCACCATAATATAATCCTTTGATGATGTGACCAGTGGACTAACAGGTCTCTAAAACCTCACACTATTTGAAATAGATACAAGCCTGCAAATACCAGCACATACCAAACATATTTCCTATAATATTTCTCAGATATCCTTTTGAATTATGGTGATGAAACACTAGACAAATGCTGTAGGATTTCATCAAGTCACTTAATAGATGGCCCTCATTAAAACACTGGTCCCCTATCCTTGTCTATGAAGACTCTGACTCCTGCAAATGCCCACGTATACATTTCCATACTATCTCTTTAGAGGATTCAGAACTATTTTCTTACACCTAACACAGCTTTTATTCCATTTAGAATAATTACCCACCATCCCATTTCTGACTTTCAAGAAAAACAAGACACTTAATTGACCACAGGAGGACTCTCTCAAGGGCACCGGGCTGCACCCGCTCGGCTGCAAGCTCCCAACTTCAGCTGATGTAATCGGCTACAAGAAGCTGACTTCTATTTTTAAATTATACCCTTTTACTCTGCCTTCAAAGGGCACATATATCACACGTTGTAACTTTGCTCGTAAAATACCTCGTGTTCCCGGGTGAATCACGCTGTCAGGAGCCGCCTCTGGCTGCACACAGTCACCCCAGCCTTGCCCATTTAGATTCACCCACCACAGTCCATTATTTGGACAGAGGAGAACAGCTAAGTGTGGCCACACTCTCCAGGTATCTTTCTGATCAGGGTCATTTCCACAAGGAGCAAATGACTAGCAGGGTCTTACTTGTAGGCTGGGCTCAAGCTCTCCCCTCTCTGTTTCCACCCCCTTATAACACATGCTTGGTAAAAATTGTCCCACGTCAATGCTACAGCTCTGTCTTCAGCTGCTGAGCTTCTAAAGGTGCCAGAAGGAAAACAGACTATTCGCTTTGTTTGATTTTAAGTTTCATTCATCATTTCAGCTATACTCACTGTGTACTCTTTAAAAGGTTTCTTGGCATTCTGAAAACACTGAAAAAAAAAATCTTGGTTGGACATGAAAACACACTTGAACTTGCTATTTATTTATTTATGCTTATTCTGCTTATTTCTAAAAATAATGAAGGGCTCTGTAATTAAAGAGTCAGAACAGTGCCTATCTTTCTGGTCTACTTCCTGCTTCAATACACAGTCACCCCATGTCTCTCCTGGGTTTGTATAAAAGCTTCCTTGCAGATGTGCCAGGTTCAAGACATGGGACCTTCCTTCCTATCCTTTTTCCACCTTAAAATCTGAGTGAGCCATTGAGATCACAAATTTGAGCATGCCCCTCCCTTTCTCAACACCCTTCCCTTCTTGCCTTCTGCTGTGCAGATGTCCTGTCTTCTCTGGCCCTGTTTTCCTATCCAGCTCCATGGTCTGGCCACCCCTGTACCCTTGCCCACCTCTCCTGTGCTGTGGTTCTAAATGCCCTATTGCTATCTTTCACTTAGGGCGCCTGTTCAAGTTGTATCCGCCATAGAGTACTGCGTTCTGTTGTTCACACTCTCAACCCAAGCTCTTCCTTCTTGCCTTTCACATCTTGCTTAGATGCCCTTTCCTCCAGGATGCCCCTTCTCAGGTGTTCTTGTGGCACTACATGTTGCCCCTAATGACCACGCAAGACAGGATGGGCGGTGATGATGCCTTCTTATTTGCTACTGTATTTACTACTATATAATATCATTTGTCTAATAAAAAAACACACGAATGAAGGCACACTAAAGACTCCAGATACGGAGGGCTACAGTTCAGGATTCATGAAATGTGAAGGCAGGAGCTGGCACAGAGGAGTCCGAAACTCCCACTCCCATGGTAATTCCTGAGGAGCCACCGGCAGCTGGATCGCTATCCCAGATGACTCAGAAACACCTTTAGGTAACACATTCCTGAGAAATCAATGGAGACTCTGTGTAAAACGCAGTCCCACTGGGACAAAACACTAACGATCACGCAAGGTTGGATTTCGTGTTATAAACTCAAGTGAACAGAAAACTTCACAATTTAAAGTCATCCATCAAATAGGGCAGCAACCTGTAAATCAATAATTCTGTTTCTTACTCCCACATCCATGTGTGTAAATTTCCAAAAGATGGGGAGGTCAGCTGCATGTGGTGGGAATGCCAGAGAGGTCTGAGAAAACACGGCCCTGGAACTTCAAACTGGGGGCCTGGCATTCTGCCACTCAATAGAGGAGTGTGAATTTGGGGCCAGGTGCTGGGATTAGGGCTCTCAGGAGAACCAACATGGTCCCTGTCCTGTGGAGGGTCCAGCCTAATCAAATACACACTTAAAAACAGGCTTCTTTTAAAAAACATACTTTTCCCCTAAATTCTGAGTACACCATGTTCAGCTGTTAAATTAAATCCAGCACACCAGGGATTAGGGAGTAAGCCATAGTTTTAGCTACTTCTGCATGGCAAAGGATTTTTTAAAAAACCATATTTTCCAAAGTCAACCAATTGATGACACTAAATGGTGGGAAATGTTTCAATGTTCAAACCAAATGACGAAGGACTTGGTTTCTATTTCATTCTTACAGAGTAACCACCTTCCCCCACACCAAACAAAACCAAATAAACACAATTCCACATGAAATTCTTCTGCCTTCTAGAATATCTGTATTCTTACTTTTATTATTTGGCACAGGGGAGGGACTCAATAACTGTTAATTGAGTGAATAAATCAGAGGAGAGGAATTACCATGAAAATGCTTTCGTCCATTTTAGGTATGCTTTTCAACTTCCTTTTTTTTGTCTCTTAGGGAAAAAAATTATGCATATTTTCTTGGATTCTGACTTTCACATCCCTTTCTGACCTTGAGTTAGTTACCTAACTGGGTATCATTGTCCTCATCTGTAAAACTAAATCTGTGTGTTGATTACTGAGGGGCTAAGGGAGTAGCAGATACAAGGGTGATCAGCACTATGCCCTGCAGATAATGTTTTTTCTTTCCTTTTTTATACCTATTCCATTCCATTTTTCTCACCCTCTCCCCCAAACAAAGTATGAAAGATAAAGCAAGTTACCAGCCTGGTTAGAAAGCCAGAAAACTTCTAAAGTAGCTTAGATTCACCAGTATCATTTCAAACTGTGACAATTTTATTTACTATCTCAAAAACTTGATTTTTCCCTTTTAAAAGATTACTGAATTTCATAAGATCATCTCTAAAGGAGAGAGATATTTCAATCTTGATGTTCCATGAACTCAGAAGTCTGCCTTATAACATCTATGTTCAGAAAGAAAATGGATGTTGATTCCCTTCCTATGGAAGGATTCTAAATTACAAACCAAGAGGAAATTTGACTTTTAGAGGAATTTGTATCCATCTAATGTGTAGGTCAAGATCTGGTGATCATTCTTTTACACATAGAAGGTCCCTCCTTCCATTTACCCCACCCCCACATCCAGCCTCCAAAACCAGTAAGTTTTTCTATTCATAGTAGCTCTGCAAGGATGTACTTAAAAGAAAATCCAGGAATTTTAAGTAGTTATCTCTAATTACATGTGGATCATTTTAAATGAGTAAGACAGTTGACACAATATTATGTCAAGCTCAACATTTGGCTGATGTTTTTTTTTTCTTTCACCCCCTGAAATACATCCAGTTGACCAAACAAAGAACTACCAAGACTGCACACACACACACACACACAAAAAAAAAAAAAAAACCACAACTCTCTCCATGTTTTCATAAATACTCAGTGCACCACTGCCACCCAGTGGTAGGATGCATCCTTGTATGTCAAAATCTCCAAACCCTACATTGACACAAGGTAATTAAAAAACTAACTGGAAATTAGCTCTGCTACTCACCAGTTATTTCAGGGCAATTTAAGACCATACTCATCTCTATGGGTACTTATTTTCCTCAAAGAAATTTCTGAAGAGGCCAATATCAGATAAAGTCAATGCCACATTAGCTAATCCTACAACTAAACCCCACTGCTTCTGAACACATCACAAAACAAAGGAGTATTATTGTCTTCTTCATTTTAATACACATTAGCAATTTAAAAAGATTGCCCCAATATTGTGTTATCACCTTCCAGATTCATTTTATCTGATCTTGATTTTTAGTTATGCGTGAAAAGGCATTTAAAAGTGACAACCGTACAAAAAGTGCACATTATATAAAAATCTGAGTTCAATTAAAACCAGTTACTGAATCCCAGCAATTTCCAGATGTCTCTTCTATCTTATCCTTAGAGAATTATATATCACATTAATTGGTATTCTGTCACATAAAAAGACGTCAGCAATGATTAATTGCATCCTTGGTGCTTTTGAGCTAAGCCTTCTTCACCAGAGGGATTCAATCACACCTCATTACCTTCTAGCAGGTACCCCTTTTGGTAAACCTCATAAAACCTCCTACCTTCCTGAACTTCTCCATTTGCTTGTAGAGGTCTGGATCGAGCTCCTGAGACACGTCCTTCATCCATAATAATGCCCCCCTGTATTCTGTCCGACACTGTTCCATGCGGTTCACCGTCAGCCATGTATCTGAGATGGCCCGATGCCGAAAAGTCTCCACTTCTTGGTGAAATCGACACAAAGGATTTCTCAAGGCCAATCTGGGGGAACAAAAAAAAGACAAAATGACAACCTTGAAACCAAGGCAATCACCAGTTTGAATCCTTGACACTTTGTCTTAAACTTATGAACCTAGAACAGTGCCTGGAAGAGAAGATTCTCCATTCAGATTTGGTGAATAATAATTAAAATGTATGTGAATCCATGAGTTGGCCAGGGACGACCACCCGTGTTCCATACTTCAGTTTGCTGGGACTAATGTGGACCATTGGGAAACACCTCTCTCAGTGTTGCTGGGGGTGGCCTCAAGCGTGGGCAGTGTTCCTTTGAAGTTGGAACCAATCCTGCATCAATGATGGACAGTCAAGGCATGCCATTTCCATTCCAATCTTGGCCACTTCCTGTCTCCTGATCCCCTAAAGGTGGGCTCCTTGAAGAGACGTATATGACCAGGGCCATTTTGATTACTTTTCAGGAGCCGGGGCATGTGCTGCTTGCTCCAGGAGAAATGAAGCATGAACTGAAGCATTTTCAGGTGGTTAGGAAAGATAAGCACATTTATTGAGGCTCTACCTCGGAGATAGGGTATATAATTTAATTCTTGTAAAAAAGAAAAACCTCTCCAAACTTAAAAGATATACATCAGAAATGTATATTATATGAATGTAAAATTATTATAATATGAGCCAAGCACACTGTCATTTATTCAGAAAAAAAAACATTTGCGATATATCAAACTCTAAGTACAGTATTTACTTTGGGTAGAAAATATTGCTTCTTTCATATTCCTACCCAAAATGAGCAGTGTCAGATGAATTACACTTTTAAAATAAATTCTTTTCCAGAAAGATTCAGGGCACAGGTGCAAAATATAAAAAATGAGATGAATATTTCAATTTCAATTTAAATGCAAACTCAGGGAACAAAGGTGCCAGGGAGCTGAGGGCGACTCCTGGAGGCTCCGTCAGTGTCTGCAGTGCCACCTTATGTGTGCAGACCTGAAAGAGTATAAATGGTTCAATAAGAAAAAAAAAATCCCCTTTGCTTTTTCCTCTTGTCTGAAATGTTTTAAATATTGAGAACTTCTAGAAAAATAACTTGCCCACATTGTCCTACCTAGACATTGGAAATTTTTTCAAATCCATATTGTTACCCCATCGAGGAAACTTGTGCTTTATCCTATTGGTTTAAATTTAATACTCACCTTTCATCAAACAGAATGAGCCATTGTAGCAATGACTAGCAAATAAGTCAGTTAAACAAACACTGGTGTGAAGGTTTGTATAATTGAAGGCTTCTATGAAAAATTGCAGATGTCTCAGATGTCTCCCTGAGTATGGTATTCATTTCTGGACTCCTTTTTCTCTTCCCTTGGATTTCAACTATTTTCCTAAACTGGCTGTAAAGAGGTCTTGTGAATGAACTATTCTTGATTTTTTGCACTACTGTAAAATTGGACAGATACATTTAAAGTTGTAAAGCTTGGTAATAAAAAAGAAAAAGGCATGCTAGGCTCAGTGCCACATGCCTCTAATCCTAGTTGCTCAGGAAGCTGAGGCAGGAGAAACTCAAGTGTGAGGCCAGTCTCAGCAACTTAGTGAGACCCTGTTTCAAAATAAAAAATAAAAAGACCAAGGGTGTAGCTTAGTGGTTGAGAGTCCCTGGGTTTAATCTCCAGTGCTGGGGGAAAAGAGGGCATATAGACTCACCCCATTTTTTTCTTGTTACTTACTCCATATAAAATCAGAAAGGTGAAAACCCAATCACTGTGATACGAGAGACTAGATCACGACTCAAAATAAATAAAAAATATCAAGATTCAGTGATAGATTGGTCCACATTTTCATTCAGGAGAATCCATCCAAGTGTAATAATAAAGTACCTAAAGGTCTACTCCAAGAACAGTTATCCTTTAGCAGGAAAAGGTGGAAATGACCAAAGAAATGAACAGCAGGGCCCAGGTTAAATGTATACCCAGCATATGTTTATTCACACATACTCAGTTAGTGGAATGCTAAGGTGTGGCTGTTTAAGATGTATACACTGAAATTTAAAATGATAGCATATTTGATAATTTAAAATTTAGAATGATAGCATACAATAAGATGCAAACACTAGAAATTATGATATCAGCTATCTGTGTTGGAATATATTCCTGCATACCCTAAATCATGTTTAGGACTGAGAATTCAAAGTCCGGAGAGTTGCATTTAATCCTCAGGAGAGTTGCATTTAATCCTCCTGTTTCCTTCATGTTTAGGAGAACTAGTTGGGATTTCATGTGCCTGGCAACAGTTGAGTGTCAGGAAACCAGAGCCAGTGTGCAGGCCACCTTCCAAATGGTAAAGCTGGTCATACCTCATTAAGTTATGGACACAGCACAGTTTGCTAACACACAGTGCTTACACTTTCAATACCATTCGCATTGTTTTTGTTGGTTTCTTTTACTGTTTGTGTTTGTATCTGAAGCTTAGGTTACATAAACTTAAGGCCCGATATTTGTGCTCTGTGAGATCATCTGGTACGTAATTATGAAAGGGTATATACTGGATAGTCATATAATAGAATAATTAACAATGTTATCAGTAATAATAACCCTTGCATTGTGTTCTGGGATTTGGCTTTGTTTTCCATAAAATAGATGCTAATTTTAGTATGTAGGTATACATAAGAATTTCTTCTAATTAGTGATAGTACATGTTCAACATTTGAGAATTTACTCTATGAAAGACACTTTAGGAATTATTTATCCTCCTAGGGTTGGAGAAGCTCATATGTATACATAAAGCATCTATCAAGGGGTTCAAAGGAGATTATCCCCATTAGTAAAATTGATTTTAATTTTCTCCTTTTATTTTGTCTGTTTTAAAATTTTTCTAAAATGAGTATGTACGGTTTTTACAAGGACAATAATTACTATAAATAAGTATGATAGGTGCATTTCAAGGTTACAAATAAGTATCTTTCTTGGAAACCTAGGGTAGAGAACTGTTGGAAATGGTTTCGTTCAACTATGAGAGTTGGCATGGTCCACACAGTCAGGGTCCAAATGTCATTAGGAAGAACCCAAATCTCTAGGAATGGGATCACTAAAAACTTGACACAGCTGGTTTCTTTTCTACTCCATCTTGGATTTTCATAGGAACACTCATGCAATATGTCAATGGGAAGGAGAATGAGAAGGAAAAATTAATAGGAGAAGAAAATATTGGACAATTTGTGTAAGTAAGATTTCTACAGCCTAAATATTTTGGAAATTACCTACAAGCTTTACTTAGATGTGATTCTGCCAAATATTAGTGGATGACAGTTTGGGGGCTTGTTAGTTACTGGAGGAGTTTGAGAGAAACAGTGTCCTTTTCTCAGGCACAAGGAGCAACTGTGTGCTGGGCTCCTGCTTATTTAATACTGACCATAAAAATGAGTCCTGGTTGTATTAAAAAAAAATGCCAGTGACCACTCACAGTTTTCTCTGTACTGGAGCTTCTCAAACTTGAATGTACATCAAAATCAACAGGGAATCTTGTTAAAATGCAAATTTCAGAGTCAGCAGATCTGGGGGGGTGGGGTCCTGTTTCTGCATTTCTAATAAGCTCTCAGGTGTTGCTGCTGCTGCTGCTGGCCCAGGGTCTGGGCAGTGTGGGCCAGGGCATCCTGAATAACACCCCTCTGCAGTTAATTGGCCCACAGAGAGCAGGGAGGAAACCCTTCAAGCTGGTCTCATTAGGCTCCTGCTTTAATCAGCTGCTGGAAGCAGACTGATCGTTATGAGCAACGTTGAAGGTCAAATATAAGCCTAGGACAGCACTCACAGTGATTGGCACCTAGAATGCCCCCTATAGGCCCAGAGAAATAAGAAAAAAAATATTTAAAAATGAACAAGAAGGGAAAAAAGGAATCCTACATGTGATTTTATTCATAGAGTTCAGAAGAAATCAAGTAAACGGAGTAGCTCCTCAACTGCAGGCAAAAGCTTTCTAAAGACAGCGAAACTCCCCTGCATGAGTAGGTGATTCCCAGGTTCTCTTCAGATCCCCCCAAACAGAGCCCCAATAAAGGTCACACACCTTTGCTGGGAAGAAAAACAGAGGGCCTTTCCTGTGGCTTGCATCATTTTTCCTGCTCTGGTTTTATCTTGGAAGCCTTGAGATCGGAGAAATTTTCCCAGTTCATTTTCTTCTTGAGACAAGACTGACGAAGAAAAGACAGAAAGGAGCCATGAACAATGAGCATTTTTATTACAAAGAAAATGAGAGAGAGGAATCACAAGGTCCCCTCTCTCCCAGAGGCAAAGATGAGATGAAATTAAATCCAAGTGGCAGGCTTCAAGGTGAGTTCTCCCCACCTCCCCCACCCTGCCATTTAATGTTCATGCTGTTCTTGCACGTACAATACAAGAGATCAAATTCACTTGAATACATCTGTCAGTGAGTTTGGTGCCTGTAATCAGAACCAGAAAATGACCTCTGTACTGAAAAGCCAGCCCATAATGTGCTGCTTCCAGCTGAAATGAAGGAGTTGGGTTTGTCAAGTATGACGGTGGGAATCTTTTGTGGCTCCTAGAATTCCGTGCTAGTGGCCTCCTATTATTCTATCTGGCTGGTTTTTTGATCTGTGCTTCCTGAGTTACATTCTACTCATGGTAAACCACCTCAAATATCTCACTCATGACACAGGTTTTGGGTAGGAGGTGGGGGTGGGAATTGAGGCTGGGTAGGCCATCAGGTTGATCATTTGGTGGATTTTAAAATACATATGCTGGAACCGGCTCTGAATTGGTTCTGCCTGATCTTGGTCTCCTTTTTAAATACAACTGCAGATGTGACTACTGGTAAGCGATCTGTTACAAGTTTTCTACAGATTGATTTAGCTGTAGATATAGTCATAGAATTGCAACATTTTTGACACTGCACTTCTACTGTTAGGGTGTTAGAACATCCTAAGGAGGTAGTCCAGTGAGCACAAAAATAATCAGCATGATTGTTTATTATGGTGAAAAACTCTTGCTTCCTATTCTAGGGACTAATTTGATAAAATACAGAGCATACACATAATAGAGTAAAGGAGACCCAAATGACACCGAGCTTCCCAGGATTTTTTTTTGTTTTGTTTTTTCTCTTTTTCTAAACACAGCATTTACTATCAACATACTTTGAATAACACTCTTGTCCTCATTTCTGTACTGATACATTTCCACACCATGTGTATCTCAAACTGCTTTCTAAATGCTGCTAGGATTCTAGTATATTTCCATGAGCCATACAGATTTCTTTGAGAATGCACCCCATTCCTAAAAATCTCTCCAACAATAATGTAGAGGTTTAGCCAGGACCCATGAATACAAAGATAACAGCTAAACTCACTACAGCTTCCTTCTTAGTCTGTGACTATAGTTCACTCTATCAGTCCCCTGGGAGGGCCCCATGGAAATGAGGCTTCAGAATCCATTTTTTCCTGAGAGGTAGAAGATGTCCCTCCTTCCTACTTTTGTCTCTCAAAAATCATGCTCACAGATCAAAGCAGGAAGGCTACTTCCTCTGTCAAGCAGTGGATTCCTATTTCTCTGGACAGCAGTGCCTCCTGGGCATGTGTGTTAGCATTTACTGTGGTAGGACCCATGTCAGAGTGTGCATGGGTGAGCATGTGACCTTCCTATGAGACCAGGCTTTCCAGGACAGGGACCTCATCTAAGCTTTATATTTCCCAGTCTAAACATGAAGCCTTATAGTTATGGAAGTAATTAAATGTTTGTGAGGTTGAACTAACTATAATTTTTGCTTTGTTATCCCTGTACATTTTATTTTAAGTTAAAAGCTTATTTCATATTCATGCCATGGTCCTAAGTACCTTAAAAATCCCTGTAACTATAAAAAGTGTTATTATTGTTGTTTTTTAATACCTTCCATTTTTCTTCTCCACTGTGTATTATATCAATCAATCAATTCCACAATGAATCTTTCTCTGTGAAGAGCAATTTCCCATATTTGCTCCTAAGATCATAAGGCTACTGTCACTTTTTTTTTTTAACTTTGAAGCCTCAACTCATGTATGAATGAACACATTTAGTTTAAGGTCAGGAAGAAACCAATTCATGGTACCTTGATGATTACACGGCTGATGAAATGTACTATTTCCTAAAAAAAAAAAATCTAGGTAGATTGAAGCTTTTAAAAATAATTTTCTGGTCATTTTATACATGGGAGGATTAAACCTGGTGGCAAACAAGTTTCATTTAAGTGCTGACTCTGATTAATTGGCAGTGCTTCTGAGAGAGGTGAAAGGAGGTTTGAGCTCCATGGGGCTCAAGGTTGGAATTTTCCAATTAGTGATGGCCATTGTTTAATTTAAACAATTCAAATACTAAAATTAATTGGTAGAAGTTTAAATTCAGGTACAACTTATATATCAGATAACTCAAAAATTTCTACTTGTACAAAGTTTTCAATTAACTGGGGCTTAAAAATTCAAATAAAAACCTATCCACATTTAATTGCTAATTAGATTTTCAGATATATTCTCTCAAAATGCAACTAAAGAACTATGAAACCAATTAGCTTGACAGCATTAACTCACTTAGCCCAGATTTATGGATAATTCAATACGTACTAGACACTTTTCTGCCCCTGGGGATACAGTGATGAGCAAGACACATGAGGTCCCTGCTCTTACAGATCTAATATTCAAGCAGCATGTGACAGAAAAACAAAACATACATAATCACAAATACAAAACAAAAAGAAAAATACAAAAAGAGAGATGGGGAATAAGAGGGACTGGAAGCTGTCTTTCACTGGGTGATTAGGAGAGGCATCTTGGAATAGGACCATTAAGCTCAGTTATCAATGACAAGAAGGGGCTGCTCTAGATACCATTAAGGCAGAGCCATGCCAAGAAGGGGAACAACAAGTTCAAGGCTTCAGATGTCAGGTGGGGAAATGTGGCTGGAGAGGTGTGTCCTGTTTATCAGCCATGGTAGGGGAGTTTGGATTCTACTTTAAGTACTTACTGGATGCTTTTAAAAGGTAGGGAGCAATAGAATCCAATTTATGTTACGTTTAGACCTTTATGAAACCTCTTATGTTGAAATATATGTTAGACTTATAGAAAAATTATGTATAGTATACAGAATTCCTATATGCCCTTCCCCAACTTCCCCTAATATTATATCTTATATGACTGTGACACAAAGATCAAACTAGGAAATTAACATTGGAATACTACTACCAATGAAACCACAGGCTTTCTTAATTTCTTTTTAACCAGTTTTCCCAGGAATGCCCTTTTTCTGTTCCAGCATGGAAGATACTTCAATCTGATAGTTCCTTTATCTTTCTTGTCTTTCAAGACTTTGATGCTTTTTCCCATTTCAGCTTTCCTGAAATATTTTTAAATATTTATTTATTTATTTTTAGGTGAAGATGGATATAATACAATGCCTTTATTTTTATGTGATACTGAGTCCCACTCAGTATCATTCATGTTAGGTGAGCTCTATACTGCTGAGCCACAATCCCAGCCCCAACTTTCCTGAAATATTTTTTTAATGTTGTTCAATTTTGCTTGGTCTGATTTCTCATGATTAGACTGGGGTTATGGACTTGAGGGAAGTATACAGAGGTGAAGAGCCACTCTTAGTGGATGGTATTAGGTTTACATAACAACATGTATTATCACTGGGGATGTTGACTTCTGTCACTTGGTTAAAGTAGTATCTGTTGGGTTTCTTCACTGTAAAGTTAACATTTTTTTTCCTTTTGCAATTATTATTTTGTAATTTTTTTGTAACTTTGAGGAAAGAGTACACAAAACTTTCTTTCCACAAACTAACTTTCACTAATTGTGACACTCTTCAGTGACTCTGACCTGCCATGATTCTCACTGTGGTGTTTACTTAATGGTGATTTTGTGGTATTTTTTCTATATATATTTATTAACTGGAAGTATTTTATAAGGCCTTTTCTTACCTGCCTTTCCATCCATCTACATCCAGATAGACATAATGGGTAATCATTTTTTTCCATGTGTTATATTTCAACAATATCATTGTTTATCTTGATACTTAAATTGTACCAGCTTGGACCATAGGCTTGCTGCTATGCCCTTTCAACTTGCACCCTTTTTCAAAAACTTTCTTGTATGTTGGCCATTATAAAATATTCCAGGCTCATTTTGAACTTTCCCTTCCTCAGCCCTGAAATCAGTCATTTCTTCAAGAAGCACTGCTTTTATGAATAAGGGTGTTTAGAAACCCTTATTCATAAAAGTAGTGTGCTCACTACTACATGGCATTAGTACTACAGGGCATTAGTACTTTGAGGTATTGTCAGCAAAGGCAGGAAATATATGAATGCACAGGAACCCATGTATACTCACTCATCTGTATTCATTTCTGAATCTCTCCATCTGTATCTATGTTAATAACAAAGACTTCATTGACACCTCTGATTCCAGCCCAATACCTCATGTTTATTCTAGCCTTCTCCCTTTATTCACAATTTCTTTCTACTATAGGCAGTAAGAACCCAGGCTGTCTTTATCTATAATGTATTTACTTATTTGTTTTACCTCAATATACACACACAGTTTCAGAATTGCTAACCGTTACCCCTATAAGAAATAAACATATTAACAAAAGCAGTTTCCATGTACACTTTGTGTTTAGGTTTAGAATCCTGTAAAAAATACTGTTGCCCAAAATTACTAAGGTTAGTTCTTTTCTTCTCCACTCTAGTCAGTGTGGTGATGCTATTCATTTGTAATGCAATTCAATTTGTTACTGCTTGCATTCCATTTTGGAGCCTCCCAGGTCCTGGCTGGTCTTAAGCATGTTTTGAGTATGTGAAACACCACTAAGCTTGCTAGATACAGCTCCCTCCTCTCCCTTCCGCCCCATTCTCATCCCTACTTCTTTCCAACACTTCCCTACCCACCCCCAGTCTCTTTAATTTCTGGTTTATCTTTCCTGAAATTCTTTAGCATGATAAGAAGACTGTGTGTGTGCGTGTGTGTGTGTGTGTGTGAGTGTGTGTTTGTGTGTGTACTTTTCATTCTTTACATTTCTATTTTATTATACCCCCCTTCTTTCTTGCTGAAGGGTAGCATACTATCGATATGCATTTGTGCTTGGCTCCTTTCATTTAAAATTATACCCTTAAAATTACTTCATATCATCAGTTCGTAGAGATTTTCCTCATTTCTTTTCTTTGACAGCTGCATAGCAACACCCTCACATTAGCTACCCTATTTTTAGCCTTCCATCCAAGTCGGGATTCCTTTCCATCCCAGCAGTGCAGAACTCCTCCTTCTCATCCCTACTGTGATGGCATGGCTCACAGGAGCTTAGTGGGCAGACACAAAGGGCTCATCCACAACCTACAGCCAAGCTCTGCTGGCACAACCAGATGACTCCTTCAAGGGTGGGCTCACTGTTGCAGCCCCTTACAAGATGATCATGGGATTTTATAGTGTTCAATCCTAATTCTATTAACTAATCTGAGATAGTTGAGGGGAAAGGTCTTTCCAGGTGTTCTACTAGGAACATTCAAATAGATGGTAAGCATAATTTCTATTCGGAGAATCACTGTTTACATAGAATCTGCAAGCACCCATCTTTCCTTCCCTTATGAATATATATATATATATATATATATATATATATATATATGGCAACTGACTTCATGTGACTCACTTAATATAAAACAATCATAATTTTATAAATATCTTTTGTTTTCTGCTGAGGAGAAAATGATCCATTTCATGCTAAGTATGAAGAGCATGGTAGGTAGAGTAAAAGCAATTTTGACCAATAATTCTCCGAACTTGGGGTTTAAACAAAGGAATGATCTGGTCTGGTTTAAAAGTGTACTCTGGTTGCAGTGTAGACAACAGGTTAGTGGAGGCAGAAGTGTAGACAAGGGGATCAGATAGTAAGCTGATTTAGTAAACCAAGTAGGGGAGTGATGGTGGGGCCTAACTAGGGTAGTGGCAGAGAATACAGAAGAGGAGGGCAAAGCTGAAAGCTATTTAAGAGGCAAATCAGGCCAGCACTGAGAATGACTAAATGTGAGACAGGGAGATGTGAGGGCCGTCCGCATGTGCCTGAATTTCCTCATAGCTCAAGATCCTGGAGTTAGAGCCCTGGAGAAGTCTTAGCCTAAACATTTAGTAAATATTAACAAAGATAATTTATATAATTCTTCCTCTAAGTCCTATGAATTTTGGTCTTTCCTCAAACAGTTCCTCAATGAAACATTACTAATGTAGAAAAACAACTGATCCCTAACTTGTGATTATAGAAAAGGGCTTTGGCAGAGCATCAGAAATAAAATGACACACTGTATTCTAGTCTTAGAAATATAGAAATTATACTATTATATTTATTATGATTTAAAATAAAGTTTAAAAACATATCAACATACAACTTGATATTTAGTATTTCAGGGATAACTTTGTTGCGAATGCTTTTAAGACAGGATGACTGTGTGAAACTCTCATTCCAGCCCAATACCTTATGTCTGACATGAGAAATGTTCTTGAGGACATACTGTCAACAAAATATCACCAGTGAATTAACTGTATATGCCTTCTCTCTCCACCTGACTTCTTTAAAAGGGACAACACTGGATGTAAGAGAGCCAGGGCAATCAAATAAAAATAACCCCAATTTAAAAGCCCAAGGCATAAAACTGAGAAAACTTTTTTATACTTGGGAAAATAAATGGTATGTCTAAATCCATGGGACATCCAATACAATATTCTCCTAGTATGATTCTTACTTTGAAAGATAAACAACCTATGTAAATTAGGTAAAATTATTAGAGACCTTTCTCTTCGTGGCTTAAACAAATAAATACCCATAAAGAGTTCCTTAAACATGTTAAATGATATATGAAGGTGAAACATACTGCTTTTTCTTAGGGTCTATCTGTCACACTTATGATATACTTACAACATATCCTCTTTTGATAGAGTACAATTGCTTTAGATAAATCCAAACAGGTTCTCTGAATTGAGTGAAACAACTGTAATAAAAAAAGAGAACAGAATAAAACAGATAGCAGTGAAATAAAAAATAATTACACTGAACAAAACCATAGTGTATAAATTACCCACTAAAAACAAGATAACATGTCTGTCTAAGTGTGTTTGGTGTTATGAAGAGTATCATATAGAGACTGTGACCAGCACCATTAAATATGTTCTTATTTTCCTTTACTTATTGGAATTCATCATCTCTGTGATCTAAATTAAGATCTACAGCAACAATTATTTCCGCCAGACTATAGAAATAATAGCCGAAAACAGAAAACTAAGTGAAGGGCCCAATTAGAGGAGTTGGTAAACCAGAGACCCAATATTCATTCATAACCTAATTTATTCCCTTCACCATTTGCTGTCTTTTTTTTTAATGGAAGATTTGTCAAGTAAACATTATATTTAAAAGATGACGTCAACTTGTTTTATGATTTTAATGTATTTTATGGCAAGCTTAAAAAACTGGATAAAGCAAACAAAAATCAATCATCTGAGTGTCCTGTCTGTTTGAAAGGCATCTGGTAAAAATGATGTTTAGTTAGGAGCAAACATCATTACTTATTTTCCTAATGATTTCATAAAATATACACAGTGAGACAACCTAATGCCATTGCTATGGTCATATTGGAGAAAACTGGGGGAAAGGCAAGCAGGATTGAATTGTGGAGAATCTAACTGGATTTTAACTCGGGGGGGGGGGGAGGGCATCTCAGTTTTTGCTTCAGAAACCAAGAAAGCTCAAGGAAAGACAGAAGAGATAGCAGGGTTTGAATCTTAAATGTTCCCTGAGAGGCCCATCTGCTAACAGCTTGGTCTCCAACCTATGGTGCTATTGGGAGCTGGTGGGACCAAGCAGAAGGTATTGGCGGGTGGGGGGAGGGCATGTTCCCTTGAGAGAGATAAGGAACTGCAGCCTCTTCCCCACTGTCTTTGCCTCCTGGCTGTCCTAAGGAACACGTTTCCTCCAATTACACCACAGCCTCCAAAGTAATGGGGCCAAGTGACCATGGAATGAACCCTCTAAAACTGAAGCAAAATAAAAATTTTCCTGTTTTTAACTTGATTTATCTCACGTATTTGTTACAGTGACAGAAAGCAAACTAACATAACATACTTCACACTTTCTTTACCTCTGACTACAGACTCAAGAGACCTGGGCTGGGAACAATTAGAAAACCTGGCAGACAAACATATTGCCTTGCGGAGTCACTCAGTGAGGCCAGGCAAGGTTTTCTTTCTTCCTCTCTCCCTACTTAACTGGCCACGTTGTAGAAAATATGTTACAAAGCACTTCAATATTTGAGTGAAAACAGATGATCTGCTTCATTATAAATTTGACCAAATTATCTAATAAAAATGGATGCGTGCACATGTACATGAAAGATTAAAACCATTCCTAGGAATACTTAATATAATAAAACATGGTCATGAAGAATATAAATATATGAGTTTACTAAATTGCATCCTCAACCTGTTTATAGATATGAAAAAAAATCCTATACCATAAAATAAAACAGAAAACTGGCAGTCTGAATCCATCCCTTAGCAAATGCTTGATGTCAGTAGTCTGGGCCACAGACCACCAGAAAAGGACCAAGTTGGTTCTTTTTCTCATTCTTGAATATAACAGCTAAGAGATGTTCTGTTCTGACTGTTCATTATTTAAAAATTAAGATAGAAGTTGAATGCAATAAAATGCACAGTTCTTTAATGTTCAGTTTTATGAATTTTTATTATTATAAACATTTGTGTAATCACGTCCAAAGCAAGATAAGAAACATTTCCCCATCCATACTGTCCCACTGTACTCTGGCAGCCACTAAAAACTTCTATCACCATAGATTCTTTTTTTATGTCCTTGTACTAAGGATTTGCTTTTGAGAAAATCATTTTAATATCAAGCAATGTGGATAAATGTTAAACTTAGCACAACATTTCTATATTAACTTCTCAATGAATTGCAATAGTATCTGACCTGTATTAAAATTTGGCCCACAAGTTTTCTGAGCCAGCAAGGTCTTGGTTCATAAGCAAGGCTTCTATGGATAACTCAGTATAAAAACATGTCATAATGATTTGCATTTCATTTTTATATTTTATTGATGGAATCAATTTTCTCTATAACCATCAACATCAGTATGAACATTTCTGCAGAATCCTCTGTCATGGGTAAAATTACTAGTCACTGCTAACTACTTTGAAAGTCACATGTTAGGACAGCAGTTATTTGGAATGAAGTACAGTGGTTTGTTAAAAGTGTTGTGGAAAAAGTCAACATATAAATATGATATTTAATACAGTAGTAATTAGCATCTTTCTTTTTGAATGATTGACTTGTATTTACTAGGTTGTTAAAAAGGAAAAAGCTATGAACTATGAAAAGCATTTATAACTTATAACAATTTACCCTGCAAATTTATAATATAAAAATCAGAACTTGTTTCCTGATTCTACTTTTTTTTTCCAATGTAGGAATATCCTTTAGAAAATCCTTGTCAACCCAGCTTCTTTGCAGAATTTCCACTTACAGAAGGAGAGACAGGGCTGATATTAATTGCACCAACATGTACAGGTATTCATTTAGTACCTGTTGAATGTGTACTGTGAGACTGGTGGGGATAAAGTGGTAGGCTAGCACGGACTTTAGCCTTTTACTGGGGATAAGGCAGGCAAACAAACCAACACCTGAGATAATTCCATGAGATGAGACCCTGAGCAAATAAAACAAGGCCATGTGTGAGAAGAGTGGGTGGAGTGGATGAGGAACAGGGGTGGATCTCAGTGACTTTAAACAGCATATTCAAGTTCAGGTGACCTTTAGGCCAAGACTGGAACTATGAGGAGGAGCCATTCAAGGGAAGGTTTGGGAAAAGAGTATCCAGGCAGACCACAGGAAATAGTTTGATAAGCTTGAACTTGCTTGATTGTGGCCTGAGAACTAGGAAAAGGCCATTAAGCCTGGAGGGTGGTGTGGGCAGTGTAAGTGTTATGGGAGAGAATTCTTAGGACAGGGAGGCAGAGCCAGGTGTGTCAGGAGCTTTGTTAGGTTCCAGAGATAATTTACAGAAGGCATTCTGAATAGTCCCTGGGACATAATAAGAACTAAGTAAACATAAGCTATCACTCTACTTATTACCTAATTTAATTCTCATAATAACTGTAAGTAAATAATTATTCTTGCTTCCATTTCAAGCACTAAAAAAACAAGGATAAGAGAAATTTTTTTTTTTTTTAGGTCGTTCTCCCCAGGTCACAAAAGCTGGCAGGTGCAATTGTAGCCATATTGATTGCACAGGGAATTCACAGTCTCAAAGTCAGCCCATCTCTCACTGGGCAGCCTACACTTCAGAAAGCTCTGCCTGAGTCTAGGTCTATCCTCAGATGAATGGAAACCCTCTTCCACATAACAGACCTTCCTATGTAATTGACAACTAAGTCTCCCTTTAACCCTCTCTGTTTTGGGATAACCATGGTTTCTACCACCCCAGCCACCCTTCTGGGAAATTTGGAGCTCTTTTTTTTTTTTTTTTTTAGTTCCATTAAATAATGTTAGATTCATTAACTTTATTTTGCACATTAAATATAGAGAATCTGTTGAATCCTTATCAGACCATGTATTGTATTACTCCTTTTGATGCCCTGTCACCCACAGAAATGTTATGGTTTCAAAGTTGTAATCTAAACCATTGGCATAAATGTCCAGCAAGACAGTTAGTGGGCCTTCTACTAGTTACATTAATACTCTTGATCAACCAGGTAGGAATTCAGTTTGCTATATTACTAAATAGTCAAAGTATCTGCTTAGTTAATTCATTCTAGAATTTTCCAGGGTTTAATACCATCTTATTAGGCTCTACTTTCCAGATTATTTTACCCATGTCCTCGTAATTTTATTATTATTTTTAAATGTAAACATCTACAGGAACCTTAGTTTTCTGAACCCTCCCCAATTCTGACTCCTCAGCTATCAATAGCAGCGACTCTTTGTAATAATTTTGACAGTAAACATTTATTGGGAATTTACCACATGCCATGCATTCCAACTAAGAGCTTGAAAAACAAATTAAGGCATGCTGGTGGCTATAGGAGAATTTGTTGATTTTAACAAAATGTACTGGGTATAATTATTTGATTCTAGATCTTCCTGATTTTCAAATATAAAGCACACCTAGGCCTGCCCGGGTGAAGTGATGCTCTCAAGACACTTTGCTGGGGCTGTGAGCTGTAAAGAGCTCACCTCTAGCTTGGCATCCAGGTCTGCATCCGAGGCGACAACATGTTCATCTTCCTTCTTCCCCGTGGCTTTAATGAAGGCCTGCTTCGTTTCCCAGTACTTCTGTTGCATCTTATTGACAACTGACTTATCTTGAGTATATCGATCCTGTAAGTCCCAGGAATAACTGCTGAAAACATATAAAGAGCTATTTTATTCAATACTTTCATAAAGATTTAAGATATTATAGCATGAAAAATTTATCTAGATATGGTGTTCTAATATACATTGACATTTACAACATTCATAAACATGTAAGTACTTTCTTTTTTTATAGAACAAATTTATAACAATTTATTATATATTTTACAAAAAAACTAGGAGAGAGGAATTTGAAGGTTTCCAACACTAAAAATAAGTGTTTAAGGAGATGGAAATGTTAATTATCATGACTGGATCATTATACATTGTAAATGCATATATCAATTTATTACACTGTATGCCAAAAAGATGTACAATTGTCAAAACTAAAAAAATAACATAAAAGGTCTTAAGTAAATAAGAAAATAAATACATTTATTTGATTTTTTTTTTTTTACAGTGTTGGACAAATAGTTTATTTTTCCCGTTCAGTGAAGGATGAAGCCAAGCCGTACAGGATAAATATCTAGGTTCTTTTCTTCTGTCCTGAGAAGATGTGGCTTTCATATTCTTTGTTATAAGTTAACTATTATACCTCCAGGAATCCCTTAAACATTCTAAGCAAGAAGAAGAGAGAAGGGCAGAGAGACTAACCATCCTTATATCTTTGGGGAAAAAAAATCTGGAAACCTAACCCAGTGCCACTTACACATTATTGGTCAAAACTAAATTTCCTGGCCATGTAAGTACTTTCTTATGTAGATATTACACCAAGAACATTAAATCAATTATTTCTAACCTGCTCTAAAATTGCATAAGTTAGAGTGAGGAAATTTAGAATCATTTGTAGGAAATCAAGAAAACTACATCTTCAGGAGAATTTAGATATCAATAAGTGGACACACTCCTTTTAGAGGTGGAGAAAGTAAGGCCAAGAAGGCCAGGTGACTGGCTCCAGGGACCACGGGGAATCAGGGACGAAGGAAGACACCATCACACTTTCTCCATCCCCCTGTATGGAATGAAGTGATGGCAAAGTAGAAAGAGGCTGAAAAATAACACCCTTAACATCTGTTAAAGAAGAATCTAAAATAATCAAACTCAGAACTAGGAAGTAGAATGGTGGTTGAGGCTGAGGGAAAAAAAAATGATAAACTGCTAATCAACATGCATAAAACTTTCATTTATGAAAGATGAATAAGTTCAACAGATCTGCTGTATGATACTGTGCCTATAATTAACAATACTATATTGTACACTTTGAACTTTTCTAAGAAGTAAGTCTTATGTTAGTTGTTCTTACCGCAGTAAAGTAAACTAATGGGGCTGGGCATATGGCTCAGGGGTAGAGTGCCTGCCTTTCATGAATGTGGCCCTGGGTTGGATCCCCAGTACCAAAAAATAAAATAAAATAAATAAAAATTTAAAATCTGTGACTGATTTCCAATGTCATAAACTATAAATTTTTCAAATGATACAGATAGAAAACCATTGTTCAGGAAGGTCATAAAGCAAATCAAAAAGAATGTAAAGAAAAAAACTAGAAACAAAACTTAGAATGAAATGGGATTCCTTCAATGAAAGCGATGAGTACACCAAATGCTGGCGCAAAGTTTCCTGTTGGAGCTCCATCCTTCCCCCTGCTCTGTGTTCCTCTATGTCTAAAGTTCCTGTTCCTAACTGCCACACAGGGCCCCTGACAACTGCCCTCTGCTGATAGGTAACTTCTTCCACCCCAGCTCTAGATATGCCAGCTTATGTCCTGTGAGCTGCTTAGTAGAATTAGATCAAAATACCAGAATCTCAAAACACAATGATTTATACTCTCCTTCCTTGACATTTTCATCAAATCTATAACTTTTAATTCACATGTCTTAAAAAGTCAGCATTTCATGGTGCTGGGAAAACTGGAAATCCATTTGCACCAAAATGAATCTGAATCCCTATCTCTCGCCGTGCACAAAAGTTAACTCAAAATGGATCAAGGAGCTTGATATTAAATCAGAGACACGGCATCTGATAGAAGAAA